AATCCTTATTATAAGTCTTTGAAGTTTACAAAATAGGTATTGTTATTATCTCCATTTGAAGAAACTGAAGATTGAGGAGGTTAAGGAACTTGCCCAAGCAATAGAGCTAGGATTCAGAGCTGATCTGTCTCACTCCAACACATGTTTATTTAACCATGTGCTTTACTGCATCACAGAAAAGATGGCAGTCTAGCTTATAGGAGACAGCAAAACAGAAAATCTACCTAAACCAAGAGAATCCCCGTATACTCACCAGTCTAGGTATCTCTTTCCTGTCCTTGACTTCCACTCTTCTTCAGAGTATTCTCCATTCAGCTTCTTTGGTGGAACCCTTTACCCAGAATCCTCAGCTTCTCCATCCACTATGCCTTAAGGCTCTAGCTTATTTCCTGCCAATTGGAGCCCACATTGATCTCTTCTTCTCTAACAACGTTTGCCTTTGTTGGCAGCACCACACAATTAGCACACATTTTTAAATATCCTATTATCTAATGATATGAAATACATAAGTTAACACGTTCTTACAATCAGGCTTACCTCACCAGGCTTTGAGGGTTTATCAGACACCTTTTCAGCTTTGCCTCATATCCTCTCGGCCTACCTTTTATTCCAACTTTTCTGCAGCAACCAAAGAATAAATAGACAAGCATTGTGTCTCAGTTTGACCATGAGTCTTTTATCCTCTCTAGCATGAGCTTCTCTGATAATCTGGCTGGATATCTACACAAAACTGCTTAGCATTCACACCCACACAAACCTAGACACTCAGACAGACTAACGCCCTTCAGGCTACCCTTGACTAATAAGAATGGCAACAGATGGGTAGAGTTGCTTCTCTTTTGCTCCTTTGGCAGACAATTCTGAGACACATTCTCAATGGCCCACAGTGATGATCAGTTGATAATGTCCATTTTTGTAGGCTTTCTTTATAAGGACATTTGGGGAAGAGGCATATGGACGGACTTACAAGGAAAGGCGTAGAGTGAGAATGATTGATTCTCATGTTAATTTGCATGAGCATCCTTCACAGTGAATCAACAGAGTGTCAACAATCAAGTAGGGAGGATGACTTGTCTTCTGGATGTCAGTGCCTCTCTCCATGGCCACTCCTTGTGCAATGAGTTCATGAATGGCCTGGCCAGGGTGTCAGGGATAAAGCCTAGGCATGGACACAACAGCATCAACTCCCTCTCACTGAAGCTGATATAGGTCCTGCCGTGGCTGAATATTCACCCTGCCAGCAGTGCAGGCTAGCACAGGTAAGGCATCATCCTTCAGGAGACTAGCCAGTCAGTTGGTGACAAGTTTATTATATCAGACCCAACTCCATTATTGGAATTGACACCTATTTTGGGTATAGTTTTGCCTTCCTTTTTCTCATTACTATGGCCAACACCACTATCTGAGTACTTATATAATATCTTCCTTACTGATACTGGACCCCACACAACATTGCCTCAGATTAAGGGACCCATAATAGTAAGGAATGGTGTGACAATGGGCACATGACCATGGGGTTGATTGGTCTTACAATGTACTTCATCACCCAGAGGTAGCTAGCCTAGTAGAATAATGGGATGGCGGGTTAAAGTTTCAGCTAAGGTGATAGCTTGGGCATAACACCCAATGTGCCTGGACTGCATCCTCCAGCATGCAGTATGTACACAGAACCAACAGTGCTGATTCTTTTATAGCTAGAATACATGGGTCCAGGAATCAATGGGTAGAAGTAGGATTGGTTACTTTCACCATTATTCTCAGCAACCCACTTGTGAAATTTTTATTAAGGGCAATTTACCCTGATTACCAGTATTCTGAAGAACTCGGGTTGCTACAACATAATGGAAGTAATAGGGAAGAAAGGAGTATGTCTAGGACATAGAGATTCAATGGGGCATCTCTTGGTGATAACTCTATGCCCGATTATAACTGTAAATGGGAACTGCAGCAACCTCAGTCCAAAGAGGCTAAAGCAACTCAGACCCCTTGGGGATGCAGGTCTGGATCACTACTCCCTGAAAGCAACCTAGACCAGCTGAGGTGTTGGAAAAGAGCAAGGGAAGTCTTGAGTGTGTGGTGGAAGATGAAGATGATAAATATCCATTATGGCCTTGGGACCATTTGTAGGGGTGGGGACTGGAGCTCATTGCATTAACCATCTTATCCTAGGAATTAAGCCTTGAAGGCCCTATGAAGGAAAACAAAGCAGAGCAAGGGGATAAAGAATAGCAGCATGGGTGACTATTTAAAAAGAGAGACCAGGGAAGCTTTCTCTGACTATGTGACACTTGAGCAGAAAACGAAATGAAGTAGAAGAGCAAGCCTGATGAGTATATGGGGAAGAACATTCCAGAGAGAGAAAGTAGCAAGTCCAAAGGTTCCAAAGCAAGAGTGTGCTTGGGTGCTTGGTGTATTTAAGGAGGCTGGTGTGGCTGGAGGGGAGTAAGCAAAAGAGAGTGGTTAGAGATGTGATCAGGAAGGGTAAGTAGATCCTAGACCATGAAGGTCTTTGGAGTGGGGACTTTGGATTTCATTCTGTGTCAGAAAGGGAGCCATCAGCAGCTTTTGAGAAGATGACATGATGCATCTTACATTATGCAGAGCTTCTGGGTGTTCTGTGGATTGGCTGCACGGGGCGGGGGGGGGGGGCGGGGAGGCGGCGGGGAGGGGGTCAAGAATGGGTAGAGGGAAACCATTTAAGAGACAACCACAATAGAGTATCTGGATCTCATTTCAGATGGGTTATCTGGGTGCATAGAGCAAAGGCATTGCTGAACATTGGGTCTTAGATTAAGAGTGGTATTACTATTCTTCAGGGCTGACTTTAAGCTATTTCTGAGCAAAAACCCAACTCTTTTACTTCATACAAATCTTTTATAATGCCTAAGGCAGCCCAATGGCTTTGGAGGTGAAGGCTTGGAAAATGCCTATGATTTGGTGATTAAAATATCTATTTAGCCTTTGCTAAGAATTCAAATGAGTAATGTCTCTGCATTGAAAAACATAAATGATATGTAGTTCTCAAAATCAGGCCTATCACTGTAATATAGATACCCTGATGGCAGTAGGTATGCCCCTTGCTACTTAGATATCTTCTCTTTTAATTCCCATAACCACCCTGTAAGATGGGGGTACTATGTGCAAGTTTATAGATGAAGAAACAGATTTGGGGGAGTTGTAGGGTTAAGTCGCCAAAGGCCATTACTGAATAAGGGAAAGAGCTCTGGATCAAGGGGTGATTCCAGAGCCCACACTCAACAAGGACAACTCTGAACTACTCACCACAGAGCATTCTGAGGCATGCTCTCATTCCTTAGTGGCCAAATCTTATATTTTATGATCTTTCAGATTCTTTTGGTTATGAAAATTAACTAGCATTAATAGGAAGGGTTGATTTTTTAAAGTTTCATTTGCTTGGAAGAACACAATTGAGGCAGTTAATCCATTTGTTTATTAAGATCCTCTAAGTTAGAATGTTCTTTTTGCTGCTGCAAAATCATTTGCTCCAATGACAAGAGTGGGTGGGCATTTCATTCTGAGCTCCTTTTATGATGTCTGTTGCAGTTACCCTGCTTTGTGACTTTCTTTTTCCCAGAAAGCCATTGTACTCCCTATTCCTACTTTTAAAAAAATCATTAGTATCATTGCATCCCAGAATAAGGAAAAAAGGAGATGTGTGATCTGCCCATGAGTTTGAGTAGTTGGCCCACATGAGCTCAGCCTTTTTTCATGTGTTGGCTGGGCGCCTGTCTGCATGCTGGGGTGGAGAAGCTCATTACCGCTCATAGCAACCAGGAAACAGGGCTGGGCAAAGGGGAGAGGGAGACCAAAGGCCCAGAGTGCTCCCACCAAATTGGATCCTGGAGAGTCAGATACTGAGGCCTCTACTAGAGTTGCTCAGCAGCCACTTGCTGTTTACAATGAAACTGCAGGAATAAAAGAGGTCATTCTGGTGGACTGGAGCATCGCCCGGTATTTGCCCATGGACGGAAGCGTCATGGTGTTGGCTTCATGCTGCATGTGTGCAAAAGTCACAGACCCTCCTTTGCTCAGCCTGTTAATACCCAGTTTTGATGTTTTGTTGAATCTGGAGCTCTCCTCCTAGAAGCATAATGAAGTGCCTGCAACTCAGAAAATCTTTCAAAGCTTTGACACTGCACTTCCCTTTCACTCCTCCTTTCCGCTTCTATCTTCTTGGCCGCCTCCACTGTTTGTGTTCATGAACTTCTGCCACTGGACTTGGTATGCCCTGCCTAAATGGCATTTCAACATGGATGTCCCCAGGTGCCTAGCATCCTTGCCTAGATTAACGTGTCAGTGGCATATGGCACAAATGGCCTGTCGTTCGGCCTCAAAATCAGTTTAAAATATCTGCCAGGCTGCTGGCTCCTTTGGCATAATGCCCCGCGGCCCCAGTGCTTGAGGAAGGAGAGCAACACTGAAAATTATTTAGAGTGAATTTTCTTATATAAGAGCCAGAATCTAACTGTCTGCTTTTCCCTTTTTCTCTCCTATCTGAGCTAGAGATATAAGCATACATTCTCCTCTCTCTCTCTCTCTTTCTCTCTCTCTCTCTCTCTCTCTCTCTCTCTTAGTTTTTGTGTTTTTATTTTAATGGTCTTTATTTATTTATTTTAAATTCTTTTGTTAAGTCTCACCTGAGGATATTCTTACACTGATTTTTAGAGAGAGTAGAAGAGGAGAGACAGAGACAGAGAAAGAAATATTGATGTGAGAGAAACACATCAGTTGGTAGCCTCCCACACCGGGATCGAGACTGCAACTGAGGTGTGTGCCCTTGACCAGAATCGAACTTGGGACCCTTCAGTCCACGGGCCAACACTCTATCCACTGAGCCAAACAGGCTAGGGCCGTGGACGGCAAACTGCGGCTCGCGAGCCACATGCAGCTCTTTGGCCCCTTGAGTGTGGCTCTTCCTAAGCCTTAGGAGTACCCTAATTAAGTTAATAACAATGTACCTACCTATATAGTTTAAGTTTAAAAAATTTGGCTCTCAAAAAAAATTTCGGTCATTGTACTGTTGATATTTGGCTCTGCTGACTAATGGGTTTGCCGACCACTGGGCTCGGGCAATAGGCATCCATTCTGAAGCTGAGTGCTGTTTGAGAATAATTTTCATTGTGAGGTTCCCTTTTTGGCCACACATCCTGCTCTTTTCCCATAACAAGAAGTACCCAGCTTGTGCTTTTCAAACACTGTTGTATTTGATCCTCTTAAAAGACCCAGTGTAGGTCTCAGCTACTTTTTTGCAGATAAGAAAAAATGAGGCAGGGATTTTTAAATGTTGCCAAAGCATACTAGAGAGAAGTGGCAGAATAACAATTCAAACCCAGGTCTATCTGACCCCCACAGTCCAAATTCTTTTCACTCTGTTATATCCAGACATAGTCCATTGCCTGAACTGTGTCCACATCCACACAGCTCTGGGGAGGGGGAGAGTTTTTATTGCAGTTCAATGGGCAGAGCTCACTGTGGTCAGACATTGTCAGCGAGAACTCCTGGACTTTTCTTGTACAAATTCCTCATCACGCTCTTCTCTCGGTGTGTTTAATGGTGGGCCATTGTTACTGTTTAGTGGCCTGATGGGCTTCTCCCTCCTAAATCCAAGGGATGAAGTAGGTCCTGCTGTCCTTGGGATTATCCCCTCTTGATGAGCGATGACCTCGGGACTGGAGACCGCTGACCTGCAAGCAGAGAGAGGGGGATGTCAAAGGCTCCTCCAGCTCAATTTGGATTGATGAACCGGAATAATTCCGGCAGCAGGGCTCACGGAATTGGCCTCACCAGCAATCTTTCTCAATGTTTGTGTGAGGTGCAATATTTTGGCAATGTTTTACTTATACTATCTCTTCTCCACCGTAGGTGCTTATCACCTGGATTAGTCACTAGATTAGTTGTTGCCAGAACATCACACAGTTATCATTGAACAGACGGTGTTCACTGGCTACTCTTTCCTGCATTTACGCTCTAATTTGCAAGAATCTTTCAGTTCTTTATTGTCACCAAAACTCTGTAACTGCTCCAAGGCCCTGCTCAATTCTTCTCCTCCAAGAAACCTCCTCCAAATCCATCTACCTCACTGATGGCTTCTTCATTACAAATTCCTTACACTGATAATAACAGCATTTCTTTAAAACATTATCTGATTGTTTGCTTGAATAAGTAATATCATATAGCTCAACATTTAAATGTGTACAGCATGTACAAATAATCAAAGCGAAAAATGAGGTTTTTTTGTTCCAGCTTCCCCTTCCAGAGATATCTTAACATACATACGTGCTTTTAAAAATCCATCAACAATACATAAGAATGATTGTTAACATATATTAGCAGTTACATGAGAGCTACTATGTTAAGCTTTATAGAACTATGTCATTGAGTCCTCTCAATACCTTTATGAGATGGGTACTTATACATGTTTCACAAATGAGGCAATGAAGGCTCAGGAAAGTTAAGTAACTTGTCCATGACCACACCGTTATAATGTGGTAGAATTGGAATTTGATCTCAGGATGTTTGACAAGATTAAAGGGTATTTAGAAATGAAGCCATGTGATATACCTGAAAAAACTTGCACTCGGGAATAAAATTCTGGCTATGAAACTTACTAACTATGTGACCCTAGGTAAGTTTCCTAAACAAACCGAGTCTCCATTTCTTATGGGGAAATGCTAACCTCGGAAAGAGCTGGGAGTGTTGTGGGGATTAGGGGAAATAAAGAACGTAAGGCACCTGGCACTTACAGGCATTCAGAAATGAGAGCTACTTTATCAAGAGCCATGTCTTTTCAATCTGCAATTTTCAGCTTCAGCTGCCCCATGCAGAGCAGGAGGACACACTCAGGTGATGTCTGGAGTAGCAGAGATCTAGCCTGTGGGTGGCAGAAACATCCCACACAGAGGTCCCTGAGAGCAAACACAAGGCAATAGGCTCTTTCTTGCACCTAATGCCCATGGGACTAGCTCAAAGGGACGAGTTGTTCATGTGTCGGCTGTTCAAAGAAATGTATGGAATAGTACAAAGACTGGCCTAGAAACCTTCTCTGAGCTCAACAAGCAGAAATGTGGTGTGGAGGAAAAGAAAGACTGGGGAAATACCCTTAGGGACTTTGCCTGGACCTTTCTTCCTCCAGATACCCTCATGGTAGGTAACCCCTTCACCTCCTCAGGGGATCCTTTTAACCGGCAACCAGCCCCTACCCCCCACTTTATTTTAATTTTTTTCGTAACACTTTTCACCATCTATTATATGGTGTTATCATCTGCTGCCTGCATTTGTTCCCACTGTCTGACTCCTCCAGAATGTAAGCTCCCTGAAGGCAGGGTCTTTGTTTTGTTCACTGATGTGTCCTAAGCACTCACTACAGTGCCTGGTACATGGTAAGTACTCAGTAAGTATTTGTTGGAGAAACATATTTTTCAGATAAGGAAATGGAGGCTAAGTGACAACTCAGGTAAGTTTGCTGGCTGACAGCAGAATCAAGACTAGAATTCAGTTTTCCTGCCCAAACCCTCCAAACCAGTTGTCTTTCTACTAAGTCATTTTTCAGGATAGAGGAGCATATGTCTGGGATTAAGGAATGAGTTGGCTGTTGAGGAATCCAGACAAAACTGGGAATGCATGCATATAGACAAAATAACTGAACCATAAAAGTGCCAGCAGGGAAAAAAAATAGATGTGGGTGGTTGTGTTGATTCCCCCCCCCCCGTGCCCCCCCAAAAAATTTAAGTACCTGAGACTCTGCTGTCAGTTTATCTAGTGAAATAAGATTCATGATCAAGGCGTGGAGATGGAAATTTCAGACCTCATTATACACAAGCTGAAGATTATTCTTTGCTGTCACTGCGGCATTTGACATACCAGTGGAAACAAAAGGAAATCTGTCTCAAGCCCCGTTTAGCTTTGACAGATATGGACATGCATGAGTTCGGGGTGCTAGATTTTGGTTGGATATTAAATATGGGGCGGGGCTACAGTGTTTGGACAGGTTCAAGCCTTAGACTGAGGAGAGGGCACAGCCCTCTCATTGCCACGTGCAAGTCCCAGCTTGGAGGGCAGAGCCTACCCAGCACAATTATAGCCAACAGCTGTAGTTGTAAGCTTGAACCTATGGTCCGAACACGTGGCCCCATGTGCCTGAGTGATAGAGTTCAGGTGCATGTAGTTGAGTAGGATCGAAACCCACAAGAATGTTGTAAACATCTTGATCACACCTTTACTTTTCCTCGTGGCATCTGCTATAAAATAAAGACATCGTTTGTGGGTGCTGGCGGTGTCCATCAGAGGAGCAGCGTCCCACCGAGACCCAGCTTTCATTCTCTTGTCTGTCTTTTCTAAGCCTTTCATCGCCCCCACTCAGGGTCACTGAACCAGGCTGAGCTGGCATGAGTATGCCATGGCTGTGCCGGCTCCCCACAGTTAAATGTGAGCATGTCCAGAGATGCAGCTGAGGAAGCTACCACCGAGTCAGAGTTTAGGGCTGAAGCCCCAGTGATGCACCCAGTTTAGCCCAGGACACCCTACTCCCGTCTCTTCTTGATAACAAAGGAGGCCCTCTGCCTTCCCCAGGCTCATCTTCCACCTGAGCTGGAGGCCACATCCCATCGCTCATTTCCCCATTTTTGGATCTTAAATCTATCTTTAACCCTCAACATACAGATATGCTCAAATCTCCTCCAGGCCAAAGCAAGGTAATAAAAACCTTCCAATTATCTCTTGAATCAGTTAACTATTGATGTGTAGCAAAGCACCCAAACATGGTGGTTTAAAGCAATAAGAATTTTTATTACTCACAAGTTGATGAGTTGTGGGCAATTCTATTGCTCTGGGCCAGGCTGCACTGACATCAGCTGGGCCTGAAGTACTGACTGCCCGGCTGGCGGGTCAGGTGATCAAGGATGATCTCACTCAGTGCCGGGCGATGAGCAGGTTATCCGTGTGGTGAAGTGGGAGACGGGCCACGGATCAGCTTTCTGGCAAGTCAGCTCAGGCTTATTCTCTTGGTGACTGGGCAGGATTTTAAGAAAGAGAGAGCTGAAGTACCCAGCCCTTTAGAACTGGCACAATATTCTCCCCCCCCCCCCCCCCCAAGAAAGCAAGTCACAAGGCCAGCCCAGGAACAAAGAAATAGACTCTACTTTAGACTCTACTTCATGATGGGAGGAGCTGCACAGTCACATCTTGAAGGAAGGGATGAATAATCGGGGTTGGTTTTGCATTCAGTCTCCTAACTCTCTTCGACCTTAAGCGTTGCCCAGATGTCTCTTTTCATTCACATCCAAATTTCTAAAGAAAGTAGCTGTCTCTTGCTTTGCCAACTTCCTTACCAGCCACTCCTTACTCAGGGTGACCGCACCTTATTACCGCTATCTCCATTTTGATGAACCTGCTTTAAAGACAACATTGTCTCAAATATGAAACACTATGAACTACTTTCAGCTTTCATCTTGCTAAACCTCACTGCACAGTTTGACCTATGTGGTCACTCCCACTTGCTCAAAGCTCTCTTCTCTTAACTTTCTGATTCCCTCTCTCCTGGCTCTCCTGCTACACCGCTGACCACTCTGTCCCAGATTCCTGGACTGGCTCATGTCCAGGCAGCAGGCCTAGAACTCAGCATTGCATAGGTCCAGATGGGTGTTGTACAAAGAAAGCAGCATTTGGTGCTAGGTGGTCCTTGGCTCTAAATCCCATTCAATAGCTGGGTGATATGGAGCAAGTTGCTCAACTTTTCTGAGCCTTAGTTTCTTCAACTGTATTATGGGGCTACGAGTCTTACAGTCCCGGGCTACTATCATGCTTTCAGAGGGTCAGCTTGTAAAGTAGCCACCAAAGTTAGTTTCCAACTGAGGACATATGTCACTTCTCACCATGAGACCCACTTTCTCCTAATGTAAAAAGAATTATAAAAAAAACATTAAAAAATGATAAGCCTGACCGGCACGGATCAATGGTTGAGCATCAACCTATGAGCCAGGAGGCCACGGTTTGATTCCCAGTCAGGGCACATGCCCAGGTTGTGGGCTTGGTCCCCAGTGTGGGGCATGCAGGAGGCAGCCAACCAATGATTCTTTCTCATCACTGATGTATCTGTCTCTCTCTCCATCTCCCTTCCTCTCTGAAATCAATCAATAAATAAATATACATATATATACATATATACACATATATATACATATATACATATATATATATATATATATATATTTTTTAAAGAACATAACAAGTCCACATTATACGCCAGTCCTAATTCATCCTAAAGAGAGTGCAGGAAGCCCAGCTCCTAACCTGCACATGGGGCAACGTGTGCTAGAATATATAACCGAAGAGAAACACACCTGGAAGAAATACAGGCCAATGTAATAAAACAACAAATGAAACATTTGCATATGCTTATTCTTTTCACTGACCAGGGAAATGCAGGCAGTTGATGTTTGGAAAGGACTCTGAGGCAATAGAATGGAGTCTAGCACTCCCGCACATGAATATCATGAGGCCCCACAGCCTCCAGAGCCATTGTGGTCATGCTAAGAAGACCATGCCCAGGCTGCCTCATTAAAACTGTCTTAACAATAGCTCTACCACCCACGGAAATCTGTTTTCTTCTTTCTTCCTGTGATACCATCCCAGTTGCCTTGAATAGAGGCTCTCAAATAAACAACTTTGAAGTATAATTAATAATGTTTCCTCTTAGATTCCTACTTGGTTGTACACCTTAATGATATTTCACCATGCTGAGCATGCACTGGAGGGGAAGGCTCACCCCTCACCCCAGGCTCTGTTTGTTTATTCCACTTTCTACTTCCTCAGAGAAGCCAGCAGAAACTTTCTGGAAAGTAGAATTAGTTTCAAAGCCATCAAGCCTCTCTCCAGCACTTTGACCTCCCTAATGTCCTTTTAATGTGGATTTTTTTAGTGCTGGGGCTTCAGTCCAAGAAACCAGAAGAGAAATATTTCTTTCTGAGAAGAATTGGAATCAATTGACCTAGAAATCTTTGTCATAGAAGGACTGAGAGACGGTGACATGGGGACGACACAGCCAGGCAGTGAGTTAGGGACTCAAAAGGCTTTCTTCTCTCGAACTGGCCTATCCGTTGCCACAGGCTTTCTGCCTTGTGACATCTTGTTTTCCTTAGTAAAATAAAAGTTTTTCATTTGGAATTCCTATCTCCCCATTATTGGTGACAGAGCCATCAGAGCCCCCTTTACAACCGTGGCCCTATTTCTGTATCAATTCTTGTGCATTATTCTGACTCCAAGCCACCCAAACAGTCAGAATCTTCACAGTCTGTCTGCAGGGTACTCGTGGAAACACGTTTAGCCGCCCTGCTTCCTCTCTGCTCTCGGCCTTTGATATGGGCCTCTCTTCTAGCAGGCTTTGTGTAAGGTGGAGACTTTCTGGAGGTATTCTTTGCATTAAGAAAGAAAGATAAAAAGGAAGGAAGGAAGGAAGGAAGGAAGGAAGGAAGGAAGGAAGGAAGGAAGGAAGGAAGGAAGGAAAAGTATTATCAGTGAGCATCAATTGTAATGAGGTATTTTTAGTGAGACTTGATAATGTTGAAACCAGGGAACTGTGGCCTCTGAGCTGAGATCCTGGCAGTTGCATTTTATTAACCAGAGTCAGGGTGCTAAGCTGATTTTCAGTCTTGATTGACAGAACCCTCTCAGCATAAACCCTGGAAAACTATTAAGAGGACGGAATCCCATCGAGTCATTCTGCCTGTAATAGTTTCAATGCAGAAATGCATTTGATCAGCAGCATGCTGAGCTCAGATCATTTCCAGAGTGAATAGCAATGTGGTTCCAGTGTCATTTACCACGACCAATTGTTACATCCTGACAACATTTAAAACAACTAGATTAAGAAAAAGGCACTCTTAATACCAGAATTTTCAGTGGATCCCATTTCACCTCTCTTTTATTACAAGAATAAGCTGAAGAAGATGGAGGAAAGAAAGAAAAAACACTTTTAGGGTCAAGAGGTTGAGAAAAATCATAAAAAACATAATACAATTGCAATTCAGTGACCCACCCTTTCTTTAGTTATCTTTTCTATTGCTGCAAATCTTTCCCATATGGAAGAATCAAAGTCTTTTTTTAAACACCAGATTCACTTCCCAAAATCAAAATATACTTCTCAGCCCTCCTCACCATTCTGAACCTCCACAAAAGGCACTGGTTCTAATAAGAAAAAGTCCCTATGACCTAAAACATCAGCCATAAAGCCCCTGAGGGCTCTACTCCAGTGGCAATATTGCCTGATCTATGGACCAACAGAAAGATGTCATCTAGATAATTTGCTTATTAAACAGATCAAGCAGCCATTGCTATCTTCTGAATTAACCAGCCACAAATTTCAATGGGATGGTACCCTTGAAATATCTGTCCAGCAAATCAAATATCAAATACTTTTCTGTTTTTCTAAATAGCTTTATTCAGTTATCTATATAATAAAAGCCTAAGTGACCGTTACGCAGAACGACCAGAACGACCGGTCGCTATGACATACACTGACCACCAAGGAGCAGACGCTCGATGCAGGAGCTACCCCCTGGTGGTCAGTGTGCTCCCACAGGGGAGCGCCGCTCAGCCAGAAGCCAGGCTCACAGCTGGCAAGCGCAGCTGCGGTGGTAGGAGCCTCTCCCACCTCCACGGCATCGCTAAGGAGCAGTGAGCTGAGCAGTAAGGAGCAGCGAGCAGGGGGCCGGTAAAGAGTGAGAGGTCCCGGACTGTGAAAGGGATGTCCACCTGCTGGCTTAGGCCCATTCCCCTCAAGTCCAGGACTGTGAGAGGGTGCAGGCCTGGCTGAGGAACCTTTTTTTCCCCCTCAGTGCATGAATTTCATGCACTGGGCCTCTAGTTAAAATATAAAAGTAATGCATGTTCACTACAAAGGAATCAGAAAATATAGAGCAAAGCAATGGAAAATAAGGGTATTATCCAGAGATAAGCACTGTTGATCATGTTGATATTCTGGCATTGCCCACACATATTTAGAAACAAAGATGTTACTAGATAATATACACTGTTGTGTAATCCGCTTTTTGTCATTCAGCAATATGGTGTGAACATTTTTCTATGTCAATAAATATGGATCTACACATAATCAAAGCTGCAGAATATTATTGTATCACTAGAGGCCCGAGGCACAAAATTTATGCAAGAGTAGGCCTTCACAGCCATGGCAACTGCCTTGATTCTCCCTCACAGTCTTGGGTGGCTGCCTGGATCCCTCCCTCACAGCTGCAGGAGGCTGCCTGGATCCTGTGGCTGCAGCCCTGGCTTCACTAGAAGGACATCTGGTCTAATTAGCATATTACACTTTTATTATTATAGATCATTATTTGACCTAATCCTCTTCTGGTGAACATTTAGGCTCTCCTCCTTTTAATCCTCTTTTTTTTTTTTTAAATATATTTTATTGATTTTCCACAGAGAGGAAGGGAGAGGAACAGAGAGTCAGAAACATCGACCAGCCGCCTCCTGCACACCTCCCACTGGGGATGTGCCCGCAACCGAGGTATGTGCCCTTGACCGGAATTGAACCCGGGACCCCTCAGTCCGCAGGCAGACGCTCCATCCACTGAGCCAAACCGGTCTGGCCTTTTAATCCTCTTTTAAATAATATTGCAATAACATCCCTATATATCAATGATCTCCAAACTCTAATGTGACCAAGAATCACCTGGGTTATTTTAAATACTAGAGGCCCGATGCATGAAAATTCATGCACTGGAGGGGGGCCCTCAGCCTGGCCTTCCCCCTCTCACAGTCTGGGAGCCCTCAGGGGCGGGAGGTGACCCAGCGATCAGGGGACAGTAACGCCCCATCATACCTCTGCTGCTGCCACTGCCGGCAGCGCAAGCCTCGGCCATCTCCTGGTTACCTGAGCCTCGGGCTGCCCTGGGCAGCTGAACAGCCACCATCTGAGGATTGCCTGTGCCTCGGGCCGGCCCTGAGCGGCTGGAGGGCTGAAGGGATTGGGGGACTCCGGAGGCAGGCACCCCAGCAGGGCTGAGGGGACTGGGCACCACCATCTTGTGGCTGTGGGCGCTGCCATCTTTGCAACGGCATGAGGGTTAATTAGCATATTCCCTCTTTATTCGATAGGATATGGATGCATGGGCCCCACATCTAGAGATTCTGCTTCAATAAGAAAGGCATAACCGAACCAGTTTGGCTCAGTGGATAGAGTGTCGGCCTGCGGACTGAAGGGTCCCAGGTTCGATTCCGGTCAAGGGCATATATCTTGGTTGCGGGCACATCCCCACTGGGGGGCGTGTAAGAGGCAGCTGATCGATCTCTCTCATTGATGTTTCTAACTCTCTATCCCTCTCCCTTCTTCTCTGTAAAAAATCAATAAAATATATTTTTTAAAAAAATAAGAAAGGCATTGCCCTAACCGGTTTGGCTCAGTAGATAGAGTGTCGGCCTGCAGACTGAAGGGTCCCAGGTTTGATTCTGGTCAAGGGCATGTACCTTAGTTGCGGGCACATCCCCAGTAAGGGGCATGCAGGAGGCAGCTGATGATGTTTCTAACTCTCTATCCCTCTCCCTTCCTCTCTGTAAAAAAAAAAAAATCAATAAAATATATTTTAAAAAATTCTTTATAAAGAAAGGCATAAAACCCAGCCACCTGAGTTTTGCCAAGTACTACAGGTGACATCAATGTTGGTAGTCCTCAAACCACACTGTGAGGAATATACATCTTTGCAAACTTGTCTGGTGATTTCCTTAGGATAAAGTTCTAGAGGTGAGGTCGTTATTTTGGCAAAGGCTAAAATAACATGCAGTGTTTTAACCATCTACTTCATTTGTAGTTTCCATATTGATTTAAAAAAAAAAAAAAAAAGGTTGGGTAATGAAGAGTGAAGAGTGTCTGTGCTCTAAATCAGGAGGTATGCTTGAGGATGTCTGTCCAAGAGCCCTCAGAATCAGTCCTGCAGGTGTCTATGGGACACATAAATCCTCCTCGAGCAGTCCCTTGGTTCTCCCACTGGAGCTGGCAATGAGAAGAGTTGAGGAGGAACGGGATGATGACACACGGTAAGAATATGTTCAACATCTTGGCTGGAGAATTTGGCTCCTGAAAGGGGAGGGTGCCTGCCACTGCTACTTACACAGAAGATTGCTGCCAACAGGGGTCACCAAACAAGATAGCTCCACCCCCAAGCTCTACTTATGCAAAATTCACATTTGACTAGCATTCAATTTCTACCCCAGGTTTTCCAAGTGTTTGAGAGATGAGAGCTGGAAAGTACAGGTATTTATTTATCTCCAGGATAGCTTAAGAGTACACACACTCAGAGGAACAAAGGCAGGCACGGGTTCCCCTGCTCAGAGTCTCCAAACTCTAGAAGGAGAAGATTTCCAACCATAAGCTTCACATAAAGGACAATTTTGCCCAAGGTGACAAAAATATGGAAATCAAACCAGTAGACATTCAGTTTGAATCATGTAAAGAAGAAATGCTGTCTTCCAGTTTGCGAGGATAAGTGTTATTGAAGTATGATATACGTACAGGAACGTGTTCAAATGGCAAGTTTACAAGCTTGACACAGTTTCACAAAGTGAACACACTGGCAAAACTAGCATCCAGATTTAAAAAAAAAAAAAAATAGAGGAATACCTCCAGCCCAGACATCCTGTGGTGCTAGCTCACAGTCACTATCCTCCCCAAAGTTAGCGACCACCCTGATTTCAGACAGTTTTAATTGGTTTGACTTGTTTTTGAGCTTTATATAAATGGAATCATATAATGTATGTACTCTTTCAGAACCATTTTTGGCTAGATTTTATAGATATAGTTCATCTTTTCATGTCATGTGTAGACATGTCCCACTATTGAAGAGCAGATATCCTCCAAAAATAAATTTTAAAGTACATATTTCACATCAATCAGTGTCTATTTGTGCCATCAGAATTGGGTGGCTTTTTCTAAGTTGAGCCCATTGAATCCCTGGGGCCCTTGTGCCTGTCCATAGTAAGGAATAAGGACCCTAACAGGCTACTTCCAGTGTGCATTACAGACAACTTGAGAGGTGATATCACGCAGTGGGAAAAGGATTAGCTTTGCAACCACACAGAACTAAGTTCAAATAGAATCATCTCCACTTACCAGCCACGCTCTGCATTATCTCTCTGGGGCTCAGTTACCTCTGCAGCTGTAAAACAGGGGCGATACCTCTTTGGGTAGTTGTGAAAATTAAGTAGGATTACCAATGTAAAGCAGTTGGTGTATAATAGGCGCTCAAAAAATGTCCATTCTCTTTTTCCCTTCAGAGACCAAACCTTGATTACCCATCAGATTCAGCCTGTTGTATACACGCAACCTAAATAAATGCATTTTCTTTTTCTTTCTCTGTTTGTAAATAAATATATTTTCAATTGCAGCTAATTGAACCACTAACTAGCAAGTATAAAATTAATTGGAAACCAGCTTTATGATCCAAGGGAATTTAAAATGGTTGATGTTGTCTTTTTCAGAACTGAAAAATGTCATTGCTCATTCTTTAGAAACCCGGATGGCTTCATGTCCCTCACATTTCCCACCATGCTGGCTTAGCTGTTTATTTATTAATGACTTCTCTCATAAAACCATTGTTATCTCAGCTTCCTGTGATGGCCTAGGAGAACAGAAAATCATCATGTTCCAACAAGACTACAAAGCATTCAAATGCCTGTGCTTCCCGAGACATTATCATTTTATTAATGGCCATTATGCCAATCCACTTATAATGGCCTTTTCAGTCAGACACATGCACGATCATGTAACAATCAGGTAATTTCTGCATTCTCACCCGTATACACATGAACATTTCTGACAGATTGCTAATGAGCTGATGTTGGAATTACAGAGTAGTCTGTTATCATTTGTCCATTCACAGTTTCCTCACCAGCCCATCTGTGCTCGGAACGGAGCCACCGCAGAGCATGCAGGCTGGGACAGTTTCTCCATTGACACCTTTTGCCTTCAGAGGCTTCTGGAAAAGCCCGTCCCTAATTAAAGATTTTAGCAAACATATTGCCAGCTTTCTAACACTGTTATGAAACTGCTCGTTTGTTAGAAAAGGTGCTGTTTGTCAGCAGTTTGTAGATTTAGATATTTAATGTGTTTCCATAGCCCTGCATAATATTTGTGTTTTTAGAATAATTTAATTAGTATGTTATGCATGTATGTACCTACAAGCTCAATAAATACACAAGGCACACGCACTATCAAAACCTCGTATAATTATTCAAAGTCACAAGGACAAAGAAACATGGTGTATTTTTGTGGACACACAGACTTCTCTACAGAACAAGGTAGAATTGAATACTCTGAAAGGTGGGAACTGTTAAAACAAAATAATCAGATTGAGATACAGGCTCAGATAATTTGGGGCCAGGGCAAAGTACATTTTACCTGATATCTATATATATATAAAAGGCTAATATGCAAAATGTCCCCTCAGGGGTTCGACCAGGAGACTGGGAGTTCGATCACTCACTATGACATGCGCTGACCACCAGGGCGTGGCGTGGATCATGGCGGGCGACCAGCAGCGGTGGTGGGGCACTGAGGGAGTGATAGAAGGGGGAGGCAGGGAGGTAGGAAATTGCATGGTGGCAGCACGCTGGCAGTGAGGGAAGGAGGAGGCAAGAAGGCAGGGAGGCAGGGAACCTGATTGGCCCTAATCACCAGCCAAGCCTAGGGACCCTATCTGTGCACAAATTTTGTGCACCGGGTCTCTAGTATTTGTATAATTAAGGTACATTGGGAAAGAATCTGATTTCCCTGGTAGAATATGCCTAGTTGAGTGGACAGATGTTTGCTCCCACTAACAGCTTAACTATTAGAGTGGAGGTTCTCAGTCACTGTGGGTGTGGTTGGGGCTGGGCAGGGAAGGTGTCAAATGGGGAGCTTTGCAATACTGTCTCCCACGGCTGCCATCGAATTTAGACATTCTCCCATTACACCCAGTTGAGAATTGCTGCTTTAGAACTCTGAGGGAACAAGAGAGATGCCAGAGCTAAGAGCTTTCAGCCCCAGGAAAAGACTCTCAGACCATTCATCTTGGAAATGGGTTCATTTTCACTCTCCCCAGGGGTTATCATGCAGAGGAGTGGCCCTTCTGATAATAAGCTGTGTAAGGTTTCCCAGACCAAAGTCACCTCCTTAAAGAACATGGAAGAGCCTGGGGCCTTCCCCACCAAGGCCAGAATAATACCTCCCAAGGGTCCAGCACCTTGGGGATCAGAAGGTAACTCTGCAGGCTGCTTTGGAGTCATTTCCACCAGGGCACTGTGACACTGAGAAACTGTGAGATGCAGCTCCCCATGTGAAAGCTTTGTGACCACTTATCACTCTGATGTTTTAATGTAGATTTTAATTTAATCTTTGAATTAAATACAAGACTGAGAGAGGTACCACAAATCATAAGGTCTGTGTCCTGAAAGAATTTGCACATCAGAGAGCTGATATACATACATAAAAACAAAATGCCCTTCCTAATACCACAGGTTAGCCAATGATAAGAGCCAGAGGATTAGCATAGATGCAGGGGCATTCAGGGACAAGAAACATCATCTTTAGAAAGGATGACTTAGGGGAGGTGTAGGACTCAGTGCATAAGAGAGGGGGAAGTAGACTCTATGGGCTAGGAAGACAATGGGAAAGGACAGGAGTATTTGGGGGATCTTGAATTGGCCTCTTTGGGTAGAGCAGAATTTGTGACAAAATACTGAGAAAGCAAGGTTTTAAGGGTAAAGGGCTACTCCGTCACTTGTGTTGTTGTTTTTTAAGATAGTTAATTAATTTACTATCCCCTTTTATTTATTTGTTTTTAAATATATTTTTATTTATTTCAGAGAGCAAGGGAGAGGGAGAGAGAGAGATAGAAACATCAATGATGAGAGAGAATCATTTATCTGTTGCCTCGTGCACACCCCACTCGGGGGATTGAGCCCGAAACCTGGGCATGTGCCTTGACCGGGAATTGAACCATGACCTCCTGGTTCATAGGTCAACACTCAACCACTAAACCATGCCCACTGGGCTATTATCCTCTTTTAAATATACTTTATCTTTAGAGTTGTTTTAAGTTCACAGCAAATTTTAGCAGAAAGTACTGAGGATTCCTATATACTCCCTCTACCCACCACTGCACAGCCTCCCCCACTATAAACATCTCTCACAAGAGTGGTACATTTATCACAATTGATGAACATACTACATTATAATTTCAACGGATGAACCTACATTGACACATTATTGTTAACCATTCCGTAGTTTACATTAGAGTTCAATCTCAGTGTTGTATATTACATGGGTTTTGACAAATGCATAATAACATATAACCATAATTATCTGTATATATAAAAGGCTAATATGCAAAGTGTCCCCTCAAGAGTTCAACTGGGAGACCAGGAAGTTCGATCACTCACTATGACATACGCTGACCACCAGGGGGCAGCGCACAACGAAGGAAGGCCCTGGCCAGCAGCCAGAAGACCCTGATTGGCCCTGATCGCTGGCCAGGCCTAGGGACCCTACCGAATTTCGTGCACTGGGCCTCTAGTAGCAATATAAAAACCCTCTGCTTCACCTACTCACCCCTCCCTTCCCTCTAACCCTTGGCAACTACTGGTCTTTTTATTGACTTCAAAGTTTTGCCTTTTCCATGTAGTTGGAGTCTTATAGCATAAACTCTTTCAAATTGGCTTCTTTCATTTAGTAATATCAGGTTACTATAATATTTCAGACTAAGATTATTTTGTCTTTTCATTGCTTGATTGTTCATTTCTTTTTAATGCTGATGATAGTCCATTGTCTGGACATAGCAATTTACTTATCCATTAGCCTACTGAAGGACATCTTGGTTGCTTTCAAGTTTGGGTAATTATAAATAAAACTGCTATAAACACCATGAGCAGGCTTTGCATGAACATAGTTTTCAAAATACCAACAAGTGTGTTTGTTAGATTGTATGATAAGAGTAGGCTTAGTTTTATAAGAAACTGCTAAATTATTTTCCAAACTGGCTGTACTATTTTATATTCCCACCATCAATGAATGAGAGCTCCTAATGCTCCACATCCTTGCCAGTATTGAGTGTTATCAACGTTTGGCCATTCTAATAGGTGTGTAGTGGTATATTATTGTTGTTTTAATTTGCATTTCTCCATTGATAATGATATGAGCATCTTTTCATATACTTATCTGCCACCTGTATATCTTCTTTGGTGAGGTGTCTATTAAAGTCTTAGGTCTACTTTAAATTGGGTTGTATTTTATTGTTGAGTTCTATTAGTTTTTTATATATTTTATATAACATTCCTCTATCAGATATGTCTATTGCAAATGTTTTCTCCCAGTATTAGGTTTTTTCTCTCATTCTCTTGACGTTGACTTTCTTTTGTGTGTGTGTTTTTTAAGATATATTTTTATTGATTTCAGAGAGGTAGGGAGAGGAAGAGAGAGATAGAAACATCAATAATGAGAGAGAATCATCGATTGGCTGCCTCCTGCACACCCCCCATTTAGGATCAAACCCGAAACCTGGGCATGTGCCCTGAACAGAAATCAAACCATGGCCTCCTGGTTCATAGCCACACTGGCAGGGCTGATGTTGACTTTCTTAGAGCAAAAGTTTTTTGCTTATTTTTTATTTCAATGAAATCCAGCTTATCAATTATTTATTTTGTATATATGTCTAGGTGTTGTGTCTGAAACATCATCATCAAATCCAAAATCTACATTTTCTCCTATCATCTAGTCATTTTGTAGTTTTGAGTTTTACATTTAGGTCTATGATCAATTTTCAGTTAATTTTTATCACAGGGGTAAAAATTAGATTCTAGTGTTTTTGTTTTGTTTTTTGCATGTAAATGAATGTACAGTTGTTCTATCACCATTTGTTGGAAGGCTATCTCTTCTGTATTGTTTTGCCTTTATTCCTTTGCCAAAGATTAATGTGTTGTTTAGGTCTATTTCTGGGCTTTCTATTTTGTTCCACTGATTTATTTGTCTTCTTTTTCACCAGTACTATTCTGTCTTGTTTTCTATACTTTTATCATAAGTCTTGAAGTTGGGTAGTATCAGTCCTCCAACTTCATTCTCCTCCTTTAATACTGTGATGGCTATTCTGGGTCTTTTGCCTTTCCACATAAACTTTAGAATCAGTTTGTCAATATCCACAAAACTACTTGCTAGAATTTTTATTTGGATTGTGTTGAATCTATAGGTCAAGTTGTAAAAAACTGACATCCTGACAACACTGAATCTTCCTATCCATGAACATGGAATAGCTGTACATTATTGAGTTGGTATCTTTCTTCATAGTTTTTTAGTGTTTCTCATATAGATCTTGTACATATTTTGTTAGATTTATACTAAGTATTTCATTTGGGGGGGTTGTTAATGTAAATAATATTGTATTTTTAATTTCAAGTTTTATTTGTTCATTGCTGGTATAAAGGAAACTGATTAACCCTGCAATCCATGGTTGAGCTCAGCCTCAAGGGGTAGGGAAATGGATTCCACTTATATTTTTTTAACATATTTTTATTGATTTCAGAGAGGAAGGGAGAGGGAGAGAGAGGTAGAAACATCAATGATGAGAGAGAATCATTGATTGACTGCTTCCTGCACGCCCCCAACTGGGGATTGAACTAGCAACCAGGGCTTGTGCCCTTGACCAGAATCGAACCTGGGGCCCTTCAGTCTGCAGGCCAACGCTCTATCCACTGAGCAAAACTGGCTAGGGCTGGATTCCATTTCTTGATAAGAGAACTACAAATTCACATGGAAAAGGACAAGGGTACTGGAAGGGGTGAAGAATCTGGCCATAAATGCAATGTTTACAACACCTGGATTCAAATCCCAGCTCTTCTCGCCATGTGACCATGAGTAAAGCACTTGAAAACTGGCTTAAAAAGAGGACTGACCTCTTAGCATGGTTTTTGGAATTAAATAAAGTGACCCATGTACAACACTTAGCATAGTGCCCAGTCTACATACGTAAATAAATATGAAGGCACTATGCTGCCAGCATCATGGTGTCAGAAAGATGAGTTGGGATACATGTGGTCTTTTGGGGTTGTGGGCCTGTACTAGGTTGATGTTGATGAAAGTTGAAAGACTCTGCCATATTTGGGAACAATAAAGGATGAATCTTTAGGAATCGGTGTCCATAGAACTGAATAACTAGGACAATGATGGTGCCATTGACAGAAGCAGGAGAATCAGGAAGGTTGTTGGCTTGGGGATGGGTGACAAGATGTCCACTTCACTCGATCTCTGGCCTAGTTTCTGGGAGTTTTATGAAAGGGATGGGGAGACAGAGTTTTCAATGACTTTGCTTAGTATGGCACAAAACACAGTATTTAATGATCCACCAAACCAGAGTTTTCATTTGGAAAACCTGCTATTGCTTACCATTTCTTCTACATTAAGGATGGTCACTCTGAAGAAAACTTAGGAAGGAGCCTCCCCATTAGTCTGATTTCCCAGAGGGACATTCATTCAGGGCTCTGTGGCACACTTGACCACGGTCCCAGCGGAGAGGTGATTGTCTTTACATTCACAATACAACCTGGGTTTCAAGGTGCCAGAGGTCAGGGTGATGGAAGCGTTTTTACTCAATCTCATGGCTCTAGTTTTTATAACAACTTTTAATCTAACCAGTGCTCACTTGCACTAGAATAATTCAAGCGCTAACTCCAAGGAAGACTCTCAGAGCCTATTAGCTTAACCAATTGCCAGCCAAACAAAATAACACATTTCCCATGTAGAATGATTTAGTGCAGCACGACTAGGATAAATAATGAAGGCATTTGTTTATGCCTACTTACAACATTCCTCGTAGGCAAAAAGGGGATGAAACATTATTCTAAGCCTGAGAAGGCAGCCGGTGCAGGCTCATCAAAAATATGCATTTTCTTTTGTAGTCAAAGAGTGTGAGTTTGCTCTGCTTCACCTCTGGCCTGAGCTCATCGGATATCCATGTAATTTAAATGAGAAAGTCATTCTAGGGAGCTGTCACATTTCAAAGAGGTGACCTGTTTTGGATGTTGAAAGGATCCCTAGTGTTTGGGCTCACTCCTGGGTGAGGTGGTGTCATAGGGTTCTTGCAATGTCATCCAGAGAAACAGACCTTGGAAAGTCTAAATAGAAGTTCTTTACCTTGTCCTTTTTGCTTGTTGTGCAAATGGGCCTCAGTTTTGGAGGGGAAACAAGCACATTTCGAGCTCAGTCTACGTCAGAATCCACCACTGCTGCCAGTCAAACCCTGACAAAAAAATTTAAAAATCGAGTTTTTATTCATTCATGGAGTTGCCTAACTTCCACCGTGAACTTTGTGGCCAAGCCATCCATAGCATCCTCCAAACTGACCCCAAGCTAGTGGGTTCCACTTCAAAGGACAACTTGGTTGAGATACTTGACTCCTTGTTCTTTCTTCTGAGAAACTGGTTCTTCTGAGTCCCCCTGCTTACATCTGGCCCCAGAAAGGAACTCCTGGTCCTGCTGGGAACAGAATCTCTCAGGCAAGCATGCTGCTCAGAGTACCTTATTTCAAGCTGCAGCCAGAAATGTGGATTTCTAATCCGTCCTAAACTTTACACATCTGTACACTGTCCTAGAACCACCACTTTCCTAACATCCCCATTGGTCCATATGGGTGAGGTTTGTTGGGAAAAGTCCTGACTAAAGTCACTCTCCGGACAACCCAGTTACAGAAGACCCTTTCTCCACTTAGGGTTCATCCCGCAATAACTGGCTTCTGTCTTGGTGGCACAGCCTCCTGTTCTTTCTCAACTGCTCAACTGGAAATGCTCTTTCCCTTTTACCTGCCAAATTAGGTTTAAAGAGAGAGTGCCTGGTTCATGGATCCTAGGAAGGTGTTAAATATCTCTGCTTCTAGGAATCCAGCGAGAAACATTAACACCTACCTCCTGGCTCAAGAGTGGGTGTGAATGTTCTCGCTGCCAGGACATCTTTGATCCAGGGCCTTTACTCAGCTAGTGCCAGGGCCAAGGAGAGCAACTCACACCAGACTGGCTTCCTGACAGTGAGGAGCTTCATTTGGTGAGCACTGAAACAACAGTTCCGCCTTTTTAATAATTTCTAAAGCACCTTGAAGAGGAAGACAGTTCCAAAGACTGAGAATATAAAGGACATGGGAAACGTTACTTCTCATTATAAATTTGGGTAGTATTCTAATTTAGCAAAGCAAGTTTGCATAAAAACAATACAAACCTTTTACTGAAGGTTTACTTAACATACTTGGATTTTTAGCACAATCCTGAGAGGCAAGTATCATTATTATCATTTTACAGACGACTTCACAGGCTCAGGGAGAGTAAATGGTGGGGACCTTGCACGCTGATCTCTGTTTGGCTGCCAAGTCCTTGCACTGAACCACAGCTCCCTGTTGGATTGCTGATCCTGACAATAGCCTTGTGAGTGATGAGGCAGGTGCTGTGTTATAGAAACCGAGGGCATTTTGATGGAAACAAAAAGTAGAAGACTTTCTATTTGACCTCAAGTCCCACCGAGTCCAGACTAATGTACTTTCTACGGGAACACACCGTCAGTGATCACCCCAACTAACAACGCTTTCCCCAAGGCTTCATCATTCATTCATCCTTTCAGACAACATATATTCACTGCCATTAAAAACTTTAAGAAGATTTTAGATGCAAAAATAGTATTGTGATTATGGTTTTTGTCCGTGTGTTTTTATTTAAAGTATTCTGCCCAGCCAGTGTAGCTCAGTGGTTAAGCATCAACCCAGGAACCAAGAGGCCGCTGGTTCAATTCCTGGTCTGGGCACATGCCCGGGATTGTGGGCTCAGTCCTCTGTGGAGGGCATGCAGGAGGCAGCCGATCGATGATGTTTCTCTCTCATCGATGTGTGTATCTTTCTATCCCTCTCCTTTCCTCTATTTCTAAAAAAAAATCAATAAAAACATATTTTTAAAAATTGAGTATCAAATAAATAAATAAATGTCCTTATTTTTTTCAAGATATGTATTGAACAAACTATAGACTGACTAACCCAGGTATTTATGGGCTCTGAGCTCTTGGACCTGATGCATAATAAACATCCTGCCAACTCTCGATTATTAAGAATTCTCTATTACATGGTCATTAAAAATCTCAATAAACCAACCAACCAATCAAAACTTTAAATGTGCTTTTCTGTCGTGTCTTAGATTAAAACATATGAGGTAGGGGGAAGGATTAGGGTGAGGTTTCATATTTCTGAGGATATTTTTTGATAGCTGTATACAACCTTTTACATTGTAATTGCACATGTGTAATTCCCAGTAGGCTAATAACAGTAATAGTCATTTCTATAAAAGCAAACAAAACAGAAACAGCCAGAAAAAACTTGCTACTGTGGGGTAAGTCACTTCTAATTATTTTATAGTGAAAATTCCTTTATAAAGTAGGAAGTTTGAGTTTGCCTATAGTTTCTAGTTTAGAATCTTGTGGATTGAATTTCCTTCAAATGGGGCTCACTGGAGACTCCCCAGGGGCCTAGTGATATCAAAATTCGAGTCGAGTCCAGGTTTGTAGTCTCGCAAAATCGAAGAATGAGTTTCACGGACCAAGAGGTAAGCAGAGTTTTTATTACAGAAAAGCTCCCTGCAGCAGGGCGGGGACCCGAGCGGGTCACCGCAGAAGCTCACTGCTGAAGGGGTTTAAGTTGTCCTGCTCTTGCCCTCTATTGGCTCTTTCAAAGAAACATCAGCCAATCTCCTTTTGCCCTCATCTCCCCACTTTTGGTTCCCGCTTTTGGGTTCGGGGGGAGGGAAGCTCAGTGGTTGACTGGCACATTCCGCCTATCTTGCTCACATCCTGGCCATCTGGTTTATTTCCTTCTTATCTACCATCTTCTCTCCCTAAACTGCCTGATCCCGACTAACTCCTCACCAGTCCATCCACCTGTCCCCCCTGCTATCCCACACCAGGAGACCAGAGATTTCTCCATAGCACTCTCAATTCTTGCAGATAGATCCCTGCAGTGTTTGAATTAAAAACCTCCCAGTCTGTTCCATTTACCCAGTGGCTTTGATACAGGCCCTGCCAGGGCTGGGACTAGAGGCCCCTTAACTTGGAAGGAAACACCCCAGCCAACGGCAAGTGCTCACAAGACAATAGAACTATAGCACTTCACTGCAATACACTTTGCATCCTTGAGCACTCAAGGGGGTAACCTTAATGAGCACAAAATATTCATCTCTAATAAGAACATGCTGTCATAATCACCCTACATGTGATAAATGTCCTAGAGGTTTTCTCTTTGTTAGGTTAATGCTTTTCCACAAGGTAATTTAACCAATTCTCTAACAAATAATCACGTTCTCAGGCCCCAATATAGTAATATGGTGTCTCTGTGTGTGTGTGTGTGTTTAATGTTTTGAATCTTGCTTTAAACAAATTTCATCCAAATAAATGCTCGCTTTTTTAGCTGGCACCAAAGCTTGTGTTGTTCATTGTAATCAAGCTCCCAGTTGGCTAATTCCTCATCTAACAGTATGTCTTCTGATTTCATTTGAGCAAAATTTATCATCCACACGCAAAGATAGGAAATGTGTGAATGTCTAAAGCTTATGAAAATTAAGAGGCCATGCACGCTGGTCCTAAAAATAGTAGATAATTATAGGCATTTCTTTCCCATACAATAATTACAGGCCTCCTGTCATCTTTTCTATTCTGTATAAGGTCAGAGTAGTATTATACAAAATTTACAGTATATTACAAGTTAAAAACACAATAATTAGCAACTGTGCATCTCCAGAACCAGTGATGAATGTTCACAGTAAAAGTTAGAAAAAAAGAGCATTATTTGTTTTATGTGGACAGTACACACTTAAATTTAATCATCAACTCCTGCTACCCAATAGGCAATATTCTCTCACTATTATAATGCTATTTGCCAAGTTCATAGTACACCCTTGGGCCAAATTCATCCTTAACGAAGAGACAGGAAGCCAAATCTCTCACCGTCATCTCAACCAGGTGCACCATATTATTTTAAATTTAATAATTCTGCTGAACATATTGAATGATAATGAGCAAGCTTAGAGAAAGTGCCAAGGATTATTTTGACCATTATGATCAATGTCTGATTCAGGAAAAAATCCTCTCACTAGATAATGTGGGTAGTTTAGAGGTTGGCTTATTTAATGCATGGCATAGGGTTGTTTTCTGCGCTTGTTTATATCATTCACAGAGGGGAGGAAAGAGCTATAGATATTCTGCTTTAGTGGAAAAAAAATAGCATTTTAACAAGAAAGAGGGTTTATCCTTAGCTCTTAATTATCTGTACTAATGGGGACAAAGAGACACAGATGTAACAAAATGACCGAAAGGAACTATCATTTCTATTTTACTTAAGGAAAAAATCATATACCTTCACTTCAGCCTTTCTCAGCTCTGTTTTGCTGTCAAAAGCAGCTTAGGAAGGATGAGGATTTAGCAAGAATGGCTCAAGAGAAGGTTCTAGAGGCCCAGAATCCCCCATTACAAAACTCACTCATGGTTGCCTGTGTCATTTGGTTTGCTCAGCTGTTTCACGTCTCTGCCCGTGACAGCTCCTTCCCCCCCTGCCAGGCTGCTGTCCAAGATGACCACTGCAAACAGGACTTCTCCCCTCCAGGGCTGCGCTGCCTCAAAAGCAGTTCAGTCCCAAAGACCAGCATCCCAGGGAGAACTGAGAATCAGAGCAACCATTCTGCTTTATGTAAGAAACTGATCTACCTGGTGGCCATCTTTGCCACTCCCCTCCTGTTTCTGTAGCTGAGAGAAAAATAGTATGCTCAGACATTATGAATAAGGACTCTAGGTCAGATTTTCTTCATTCAAATCCCAGTGCTACTCTTCATTAGCTCTGTGAGCTCAGTTGTAACCCTTCTATGTCTCAGATTTAACATCTCTAAAATGGGAAAGCAATAGCGGTGAGCATTAAAAGAATATATATTACAAGTGAGCTATAAATATAACTGTTATGTGATTAAATGTTCCCTGGCCACAGAGAGTTGCTATGGCAATTGAACAGACTTTAAAACTAATGTAAAATATGCCTTCTGATTAGAAGTACAAGTTTTGGGATCAGGTAAGTCAACAACACACAAATCTCTGTCTTTAGCCAGGACCTCTGTTCTGAGCTGCAGGCTGTCTAGTTGGCATCTCCTCTTGGATAGCTTGAACTCATCATCTTCTTCCATAAACCTGCTTCTCTTGCTCCTCACCTCAATGAACAATACCACCAGAAGTTTATTCTGATTGTGATCTCTCTAAGCCCTGACTTCCAATCCATTAACAGAGAAGACCTTTCCTGGGTCCTGGCACACACTCCTCCCTTATCCTTTCTCCACGGTCTCCCTCTCCATTCGGTGAGCCACGTGGTTCAGGAAAGCTTGACCCCAGAGTTCCACTCCATCTTCCAGCTCAATAACTGGCTCAGGAATGGGCATGAGACTGAAGCTGGTCCAATCTGAGTGAGGCTTGAGGCATTTGCTGGGAATGCTGAAACAAAGATATACTACTCTCTTTTTCAAACAAGATATAAAGGAAGAAGCATGTAGCCATGAAGCCGCTGGCCGCCACCTTGGGGGCGTGAGGGTGGTACCCTTATGATACAGCACATACAGCAGGAAGTAAACAGAGTCAAACAGGAACCAGTTCCCTAAGATTTCATTGAATTTTGCCTGAACCAAGCCCTACTTCCACATATTGCAATTATATAAAGCATTAACTTCCCTCTGCTTTTAAAGTCAGGTTTTTTTCTAGAAAATAAAACAGTAATAAGCTTACAATTCAATTAATAGCAACCAATAATTATGAAATTAGCAGTGGTTATCTTCAAGTTATTGTACTAGCTGTGTTGTCATTTCTTGGGGTTGATCAAAGTCACCTAGAGTTAGACATTTCCCACTTAAGATGCATCATATAAATCAGACTTGGTTTATCACCACCATTTATAAAACCAGACCTAGGGAAAGAACTAGGTCTAAGGACGCATGCATGGTCTTCATAAAGCAAATGTATAGCCTACTCTGATAATTACAAAATCAGAACAGTGAGAATATTCACAGTAAGTCGGGTTTTATTACTTGCAGTTGAAAGCATTCCAAGTGATTCAGTCAAAAAGTTTACCTTTTAAATATTTCTGGAATCCATTCACTTCTCTCTATCCCTCCACCCTCACCCTGGTTCAAACTATCATTATTTCCTATCTGGACTATGGCAGTAGCTTTCCAATAGTCTTCCTGCTTCATTAGTTGTCACCTTCTCACTCCATTCTCCACAAGTAGTCAGCAGGATCTTAAAAAAAATAAAATTCAAATGTGATTAAATCATTTCCCAATTTCAAGTCCTTTAATGACTTCTTATAGAAATGGGAATAAAGTCCATATCCCTCATAACGCCAACTAGGTCCCATGTGATTTGGTTCCTCACCTTCTTTAACATCTTTATCTTATGTCAGTCCTGCTTGGTCTTTAAAAATCCTGGCATTATTATCTTTTTGCAGTTCCTTAAAGACACACCATTCTCTTTTCTGCCTCAGATCTTTTATACATACTGCCTAGGACAGTGGTCGGCAAACTCATTAGTCAACAGAGCCAAATATCAACAGTACAACGACTGAAATTTCTTTTGAGAGCCAAATTTTTTTAACTTAAACTATATAGGTAGGTACATTCAACTTTAAATTCATGGTTTTCTTCTTCCGTTTTTCTTTGCTTCTTCTTTGTAGCCATCTCAAACAGGGCACCTAAAAAAATGTTTCATTTTATAATAATAAAGCCACCAACACAAAAGAATTACAATTCTTAAATTGATGACAAAAATACCTGTAGGATTTGCAACTGGTTGGAAAAATAAGGTAACTTTATGCTTCGAGTAGGTACTTTTGTCACCCGCGTGCGATTTGCAGACGTGACTAGCACTAACCACTGCACATGAGACTGCTGACTGACTGGCTCACTCAACTCCTGCATGAATCGAGTGCCTCCCCTGCGTTGCGTATCCCGTGGCCCGCCTGCGCCCCGTCTCCCGTCGCCCGACCGACTGACACCCCCCACTTCTTCTAATGCCACTTCTTCAAAATAGACTTGCCCAGGCCGAAAACCGACTTCTGCGCATGGGCCACGAAGTTTCAATCGCACTGCATGTGCGCGCCCGCACATGGTATTTTGTGGAAGAGCCACACTCAAGAGGCCAAAGAGCCGCATGCGGCTCGCGAGCCACGGTTTGCCGACCACTGGCCTAGGACAGCCTCTTCCCCAGTCAATGACCACTCACCCCTGAATACTCTTTTGCTTACCTCACCCTTTGGATCTCAATACTATTCCTCGAGTTTGTAGGCCCTCCTGTCTTCCCACTGTCCTCTGGTATCTGTCCTTCACAACAGCTATTATCTCTGATTACTTATTTAACTGTTTGCTTCCCCCACATCAGTCTCCTTTAATGATATATCATCACCATCTACCCCTGGAAGATAACACCTATTCAATAAATGGATTAATAAAGTAATTGAGATAAATACAAATTTGGTCTATGTCACTCTTTAGCTTTATAACTCTGGGTAAATGACTTAACATCCTTGAGCTTCTATTTCTCCATCTTCAAAAACTAGAAATGATAATACCCACTTCACTCACAAGGCTGTTTAAGGATTAAATTAAATTTGGGCACATAGCCCTGGCTGTGTTGCTCAGTGGGTTGGAGCATCACCAAAGGTTGCAGTTTGATTCCTGGTCAGGGCACATACCTAAGTGGTGGGTTCTGTCCCCTGTCAGAGCACATATGGGAGGCAACCGATCGCTATTTCTCTCTCACTTTGATGTTTCTCTCTCTCCTCTTCCTTCCTCTCTCTAAAATCAATAAGAAACATATCCTCAGGTGAGGATTTTTTTTTTAAATTGGGGGCACATAGCAGGTGGTTAATAAATCCCTGGGAAGTAGGATATTCCAAGTCAAGGATCTCTCTAGCTCTCAGGAGGTGAAAAGGAACCCTAGAATCAGGTGCTTTATAAAAGAATCTCAACTTCCAATAAAACTAGAGTGACATGATGAGTATCCACTGTGAGAGGTTCTTTGAAAAGGTCTCAAAGACAACTACGCCATTCAAAGGAGCTAGAAAAATTTGTAAGCAAAACACCAGATGACTAGGAAAAACTAAATAAATGACAAGAATAACTAGTACCTGTCCTATGAGACATCAAAATATGACTTCAAAATATTAAGGCTGAATTTCAGCCCCAGGGGACCCTTACAATTTTTAAGTCACCAAAAAATACACTATGGATCCTCCCCATGTATTCAATTGTACAGTGACCTCTTACCTCTTACTGAGATCACTGTTTTAGAAACCTGCCAACATTGTCTTGTTTCGTTGAATCCTCAAACTCTATAAAGGTCTCATTATTTACATTTTACACATGAAAACTAAGGCCTCAGTACTCTCTGACTTCAACACTAAATCTCTTAAGAGAATTTCTCATTCGTAATTAGATTTTCTACTTCCTTGTTCATTTATCGTCCTCACCAGAATGTAAATTCCTTGAGGGCAGGCACCTTTTTTGTTTTGTACTCTTTTTTTTTTAAATATATTTTATTGATTTTTTACAGAGGGGAAGGGAGAGAGATAGAGAGTTAGAAACATCGATGAGAGAGAAACATCGATCAGCTGCCTCCTGCACATCTCCTACTGGGGATGTGCCCGCAACCCAGGTATATGCCCTTGACCGGAATTGAACCTGGGACCTTTCAGTCCGAAAGCCGACGCTCTATCCACCGAGCCAAACCGGTTTTGGCTGTACTCTTTTTTAAGAGTCCAGATTAGTGCCTGCTGTATATTCACTGTTTGTTGCTCAACATTTATTTGTTGGATAAGTGAGTGAATGGACTCTTCGAGTTAATAGAGCAAAGAGATGAGAATTTGGTATCCTATATAATAAAGAGGTAATATGCAAATTAACCCTCATGCCCTCACAAGATGGCTGCCTACTACCAGGCCAGCAGGGGGGTTAGTGGGGGACGACCAAATGACTGAACAAGCAGGCTGTGTGGGGCAACCAAGCCAGTGGGGGGGCCATGAGGGGTGACCAGGCTGGCGGGGGGGGCAGTTAGGGGTGACCAGGCCGGCAGAGGAGGGCAGTTGGGAGTGACCAAAACAGTAGGGGGGTAGTAAGAGGTGACCAGGCTGGTGGGGGGCAGTTAGGGGCAACCAGGCTGGTTGGGGGGGCAGTTGGGGGTGACCAGGCTGGAAGGGGGGGCAGTGAGGGGTAACCAGGCCAGCAGAGGGGGGCAGTTAGGAGCGACCAGGCCAGCAGGGAGGGGGCAACTGGGGGAGACCTGGCCGGCATGCAGCAGCAGTAAGGGGTGATCAGGCTGGCACAGGGGGCAGTTAGGGGCGACCAGGCAGGCAGGCAGGTGAGTCCAGGATTGTGAGAGGGATGTCTGACTGCTCGTTTAGGCCTGATCCCCGTCAGACATTCCCTGAGGGGTCCGGGATTGGAGAGGGTGCAGGCTGGGCTGAGCCCCCCCACACACACACACACAAATTTTGTGCACCGGGCCTCTAGTATGTGTATATATATATATATGGTTGATATGCAAAGTATCCCCTCAGGAAATTGAACGAGAGACCAGGAGTTCGATTGCTCACTATGATGTGTGCTGACCACCAGGGGGCAGCGTGAAACATGGCGGGCAACCAGCGGCAGGGGGTGGGGGGCACTGAGGGAGAGAGAAGGAGGAGGTGGGGAGGTGGGGGCTAACTGGCCCTAAACGCCAGCCAGCCTAGGGACCCTACCCATGCATGCACCAGGCCTCTAGTTTGAAATAAAACAGTATCCAAGTTAAACTAAATATTCAGAAATACTTAGCTTTCTCTATAGCCCATTTGGTATCTCAATATCTGGGACCTGGTAGGGAATATGCTGACAACCCATCGAAGAGTCAGTGTTCAATGTGTAAAGACCTGCTTTCCCACAAGTCCCAAATGGCTGTTTTGTTTCTGAAGAGCATGCTCTGTGGAGCCGCAGGGCCCTCATTTGTATTAGAAGTGAGAACTAGTTCTTAACTCAACTTGGAAGGGACAAATATATTCTTTTGACTTAATGATATAACATTTTATCAGCTACATAAAAAATGAAATATATGTGTTCATTTGCTATTTGAGGCACTTTTCCGACATGTATGCAGGAGCTATGTCAGCTGCTAACTGGTGATCCTTTTTTGACACCTGTTCCCAAGAGCATTGCATAGATAAACATACTCTATTTGAACAAGACCAATGACAGCAAAATTGCTTGCTTGTCTCTAAAAAGACTCTACTAATGTGCACCAAGGGAGAGGCCCATGGTCTGACAGAATTTTCCCCCCAGTGTAAACCATAAAATCCATTTCAATAGCCAGAATAAAGCAGTTGAAAGTGCATCCCTAGTTAATTATATCCAAAGAGAAATAATAAAATCAACTATTAAATTTTAGAACTTCCTCTTTAAAGTATTAAATATTTGGCAACTGCAACGCAGTTAAATTTCTCTCACAACAATGCTCTCCCTTGCTTAGCTAGCCTGTAAGAACACTTACGCAAAGTCTCAGTGTGACTAGAAAGAGAATGCATTTTTCCTGTGAAGAAATATTTCAAATAAGCCCTTTATTTCTGCCAGATGTCTATGATTTCTTAATTATCCAAGAGCTTAGTAGAAACCGTCACTTAATAAGAGGATATACCTGAGTCACAAATCCTCTATAATAATTGACAGAACATGGCCAAAAAATTTGTAAAACCAAAACCAAAATGTTGCTGAAACTGGTTTGGCTCAGTGGATAGAGCGTCGGCCTTCGGACTGAAAGGTCCCAGGTTCGATTCCGGTCAAGGGCATGTACCTGGGTTGCGGGCATATCCCCAGTAGGAGATGTGCAGGAGGCAGCTGATCGATGTTTCTCTCTCATCGATGTTTCTAACTCTCTAACTCTCTCCCTTCCCCTCTGTAAAAAAAAAAAAATCAATAAAATATATTTTTAAAAAAACCACAAACAAACAAAAAAAACAAAACCAAAATGTTGCTTAAGTCCTAGT